GTTGCAAGATGCACTATTTTTGGGACTCAAACACTTTTTTTTTAATATTCATACATCGCGATGTCGAGATGTTCAATTAGAGGGTTTTTCAACATTAAAACAACCTTTCCGATGGATTTTTGAGTTATGATTCTACATTTTAAGATTGCAACCTTATATAAACTTTTCCCAAAAAAAAAACTTAATGCATTTAAATTTCTAAACTTGAAGAAACAACATTAAATTTTCATCAAACTCAAACCATTTTCAATATTTTTCTTGGATCTTACAGCCGCCCATGTTTCTCTACCAAGGGCTATAACGGAAATTGTTAGAGAGAAAACTTATCTTCAATAGGTGTTTTAGAGTTCGTGAACCCTATAATATTCAACAATCAGCAGACATCTAAAGCAGTAAACAACGTCTCAATATTGATGTATTTTTTACAAAAATAATGAAAATGCAGTACCCTAATATTTTTAAAATCTCAAAAATACTATTTTAGTTTTTAAGTATTTTTTAAAACATTTTGAGGTTAAAAATGGCCGATCCAACTGATTATCTGATCAATAATGCCAATCCACCGATTCAGCCTAGTTTTTGAGATGGTTGATCCAAGTCACCGATCCGTTTTCCTAAATTAATAACCCCAACAATGTTGGTGTCCTTGGCATTGGGGTCAGGATACTGGTGGTTGGGTGTTACATGCCTCAATATAACTCCATTTCCATTATTAATACTTTAGGGATAGACTTCAAAATCTATCGGGAAAATTTTCAAATCATGGATATGAAAAATAAAAAGATTTTAAGTTATGAAAGTAATGCATTTTGCATTATTTGAACTATCAATTTTCAAAAAATTTAATTGCTTATAGACTTGCTTGATTGGCATCATTTTTGAGATTTTAATTTTTATAATTAGGAGTGACATTAGATTTTCTTGTCATTACAAAGGTTTTCAGCACCGAAACTGTATTGTTTTTGGCATAGTTTCAATATACGCATTACTTTAATAGTATAAGATTGACACCTTATATAAGCCACGCCAAATGAAATTAATTTTTGTGATCTTTCTATGTGGCAAAATCAATAGAAGCTAGTGGATACTTATTAATGTGAGTTGCCGTATACTCAATTTTTGTAGTTTTGGCCACTAATACTTTGAAATGTTAGTTGATAAGAAATTTACACAAAAAATTTGATAAGAAAGTCGGAAGCTACTATAAATGCTTTTAAGGGATTATATAAAAATTATTTATCATTGTTAGTTGATAAGAAATTTACACAAAAATATTGACAAGAAAGTCGGAAGCTACTATAAATGCTTTTAAGGGATTATATAAAAATTATTTATCATTGTTACAAGGAGGTCACAATTGTTAGTAGCCATTAGATGCTAATTTGGCTGGCTTGGAGTGTGTCAAAGTTCAATAATTCGTTTTGGGATTTTGAATCTTGTCAATAACACACTCACAGCCCTCAATTTGAAATTTCACATACAATAATCATTGTGACCTCCTTAACATAAAAAAAACCTTTCCATACTTTTCAAATAAGAGCATGATGCTAGCATTAAAAAAGAATACGATGCTATTCCTTTCAAAACGAACACGATGCCATTTTCTCGATCCTAATACTAACTTTAAAAAGAGGGAAATTATGGAATATCCCTAAGATAAAACATTCTCCACAAAATACCCCGCATAAGAAAAGTCTCTTGTGCTTATTAGGATTCTATATTTTGAGACTATTTATTTTTGGTACAAGGATGTTACAATTATTTTTAGCCATTGGATGCTAAATCCAATAGATTGAAATATGACACAATATTCAAGAAGTTTTATTATAAACATTGTGCCCAATCAATGACACATTCTCAAAATCGCCCGATGCTAAATTTTATATTCAACAATCAATAATAACTACTAAATAGTCTCATTATATACATGTCTATACTTATTAACCTAGGCTATAAACAAACAAATTAGAGCCTACCTTCAAATAGTATTGAGAAATGTAGTTTCAATATTGGAAATCTTTTTAATAGCCTTAAATATATTTTCATCTTTATTTATAAAGTTTAAAGCTTAAAAAATAGTGTAGATTGAGAGATCTATGAAAACTTGAAAATTGACGGTCTAAAAGTGCGTTACAAAATACACCATTTCCAAAACTTGAAATCCATTTGTCTCTCATGTCCATGCATCTTGATGTCGAGATGATGAATTTGAGGATATTTGGGTATCAAAATAACCTCTTCTAGTGAAATTTTTGAGGTAGGCTCGAAGTTGATTGCTTGGAGACTCGACTCTATATAAACTCTTCCGTTAACCAAAAGGAACTTTTTTTTTTTTCCACGATGTTTAGATAAAGAAAGAGCTTTACAACACGGTCTTGGCTGCAGGGTAGGACCAAGGACCCCATGACCAATAGAAATGCTCAAACCCCAAACCATTTATCCAGAACTTTCTATCATTTGCATAAATTATAAAAAATTTAACAAAACTCAAACCACCATCATCATCATCCGAGCTATTTTTCAACTAATTGGGGTCGGCCTAACAACCCAAACCCTCTTTCTAAAAACCATTTGTCTTTTTCTCCAAACATCAAGATCAAAAGAACTCAAAAGCCCAAAGAGATTGTACACAATGAGAATATTTATCTTTGGTATAGAAAAGTCATAATTACTTAGAGTGAAATCTGACAAGTTGGGTATGTCACAAAGTTTGAGAAATGTTTTTTTTTAACTTTGAGTTTAGTCAATGAAATAAATGTAGCTACCTAATTTCACATCTAATGGTCAAGATTAATTTTGACCACTTTGTACCAAAGGTAAATAATCTCATTATATACTTTTCCAATCTCTTCAAAAAAACTTATGACAGACAGATCCCATGACAGAGAAAGCTACAAAATTCAAGCAAACACGCGAAGCCCTAAAACCCAATATCCTAATACCCATTTTTGCATTTCAACCACCACAGCACCCCAAATTTCAAAACTAATCTTCCTAGACAACACCATTTTCTAGGGAAAACACCAGTCAAAATTCTTCCATGAATATTGTCCAAAATTTTCTTTTCTTTAACTACCGAACAGCTAATTTTCTCTCTCACTCTCGCATTTTATTTGAGGGAATGAGGAAGTCCCATTTACAAACCCTGAAAGCCATCCTAAACAAGGTTGACATGTGGACAAGGAAAAAATGGTTGATGGGGTAAAAAAGGATGTGTGTGAGGGATAAGAGGTAGTGTAGAGCACAGTTAGGAAACACGACCCGGAAGGAACCTGGCCATGGGCGAGGTCCGGGTAACCGACCCTAACTGAGCAAGTACTCGCTAGGGGTGGCAACAGTTTAGATACGTGTGGGGTCCAGTTGGACCCAGACCCGGATTGTCAGGTCTCGGGTCGGGTTGGGTCCATTGTCACCCTCACTATGAGCATCTTCTTTATTTGGGTACGGTTTGTATAGAGCCAAGGCTTTAAACAATCAAATTAGTGCCCACCTTCAAATAATGTCGAAAAATGTAGTTTTAATACTGGAAATCTTTGACTAGCCTTAAATAATATTTTTATTTTTAATAATAAAATTTAAAGCTTAAAAAATAGTATACATGGAGCAAATCTATGAAAACTTGAATAACTTAAAAATTGAAGGTCCAAAAATGCGTTACAAGATGCACTATTTCTAAAACTAGAAATCTATTTGTTTTATCTAGTCCCAGTATCTTGATATCGAGATGATCAATTTGAGGATATTTGGACATCAAAACCACCTCTTCTAGTGAATTTTTTGAGGTAAGCTCTAATTTGATTGTTTAGAGCCTAGGCTCTATATAAATTTTTCCTTTTTTATTTTGCCCTTTTATTACCATCATATACCGATATTATTGACAACAAGGTCACAATCACCGGCCATTAGATTTCAAGTCATCTCATTTGTCGTTTAATCACTAAAGATGACTATGAGTTCTTATTGTATATGATTCTTAATACACTCAAACGAATTGGGCTTGGAGTATTTTATCTCCAATAGTTTACAAGTACGGATGGGTATTACCAGACCCAGACCCAAACCTAGACCAAGACCCGAATAGTATTTTGGTCCAGGTTTAGACCCATACTCGGACCCTGTGTTAGGTATATCCGATGGGTCCTGGATCAGGTCCAACGAGATTAGAAATTAATAAAAAATACATTCAAATGAGATTAGTGAAGTAAGAAAAAAGAAATTGATTTTGAAAAATCAATTTGTGCCTAAGGGTATGTTCCAAATAATCTATAAAAGAAAAGAAAATATAAAAACTAGTATTTATGAATACTCTCAATCTTTTTCAAACCAATAAAAAACATTAAATGACCTATTCCAAAAAAAATTTTAATTTTTTTAAATTTTTAATTTTTAATTTTTTGAAATTTTTAAGTTGACCACCTTAACCGGCCACACCCACTGCCGGGTCCACGTCGACCCGGCATGTTTTGCAAAGACTATAGTAGAGAGAGAGCAAAAGACCGCTTCTTACCCTTCTAGATTTTAAGCCTATGGCCAAAGAAAAGGAAAGGCATTTTCGCTGAAAAATATTCTTGGTCGGGTTGACACATCCCCCTATTCTCTCTGTCTCCACAGCTCTCTCTTACAGGGAAGTTTCGATGCTTTTATTTATTTATGTTTAAGACAAAAAAATTTCGTAAGAATTGCATTCCTCAACGCGTTATTCTTGTCGGGAGAAATGGGATATTCATATCGGGTCAAATTGAATATATGGACTTCAACTCAATGTGAAAACGATAAAAATTCGAGTAATTCGAATAATTCGAGTAATTTTATATTGGGTCCACTGGCATGAGAGAGAAAGTGAGGACCTTCCTGCATTGATGCGACGTTTGACCATGTCAATTATTGAGAGAGAGTGTCAATTACAGAGAGAGAGAGAGAGAGAGAGAGAGAGAGGTGTTCTTGAGTTCATTTATTAACCAGTTTGACGGAGAACACAAGAGCAACGCGAAAGAAGGATGATGGGAGAGGAGGGGAAAACCAGAGTGGTGGTAGATGAGGGTCTCATTAAGCCATGTTTCTCCGCTGCCATGAAAGCTCAAAGAGAGCATGAGCGCACCACTTTATCTCACTTCATCGTTGAGAAGAAGCCGAAGAGCGGGCCTGTGATCATGGGATTTGCAGGGAATTGGCGAAGCTTGGAGGCTGATTTGCTGCGATCAAAGGGAAAGTTTGGAGAGTGTAAAGTGGACCTTGGCATCTTTCCTTTGCTTAAAAATCTCTGCACCGATGAGCCAGCCAAAGTCAATGAAGCCTTTCTCCATCGCTTTTCAGATCTCTTCCTCAAAGATGATCGATTTCAGAAAAAGGTGCAGTCCCCTCTTCTCTCTCTCTCTAAAACTATGGCTGTTCTCTTTCTCTCCCAAAAACTACAATACGACAGAGTACGACTTTTTTGGTTAAAAGCGTTTGATTACATGGCAAATGGCACTTGTACAACTGTTTAATGTTGGATCTAATTTTTTTCCTACAACTATCCTAAAGTTGCTTTTTTTTTTTTTGTTGACATGCGACCAAACGCTGCCCTGCCTCTATGATCCAAGCCCAATTCCTTACAACTATCCTAGAAATAGGAGCAATTAATATTTCCAATTTTTTTCTAAATTTTAAAATTTATGGCTCAGAACACAATTGTCAAGTTTGCTATTTCTTCTCCATCGCCGATTGGCTTTTACGAAAAGGAAAAAAGTTTATAAAAACGATGAGGCCCTAAACATACAAATTAAGGGGCACATAAAATTTCTCTAGAAGAGGTGGTTTCGATGCTAAAAAATCCTCAAATCGATCATCTCGACTTCAAGATATATGGACACGAGAAAAAATAGATTTTAAGTGTGGAAAATAGTTTTGCTCGATCTACACTATCTTTTAAGCTTTAAATTTTATAGATAGATATGAAAATAAATTTTTAGGCTATTACAAATTTTTTTTAGTAGTGATACATCTTTCGATACAATTGGAAGGTAAGCCTTACTTTTATCGTTCCTGGGTCTTATACAAACCATACCCTTAATATCAAAGAGATTTTTTAAGAGGAGAAAATAATTAATATATTTATAGTAAAAAAATGCATTACAAGATGCACTATTTCCAAAACTTGAAATCCATTTTTTTCTCATGTCCATGTGTCTTGATGTCGAGATGATCAATTTGGAGATATTTGGGCATCAAAACAACACCTAGTGAAATTTTTGAGGTGGGCTCTAATTTGATTGTTTAGAGCCTCGGCTCTATATAGACTTTTTCTTTATGTACTATGACTGTTGTTCGGTGTGGACTCACTTTCTACTAATTATACGATTGCACATGACGTATTTTTTTAGATGAGCTACCAGTACAATACAATAGAATAAAGTTTTATGGGTTATGTTAGGGGTGTTCACATTATTGAGTAATTTATCATCGTACTTAACAAACTTTAGACATTTCTATACTATTGTTTTATATATAGAGTATTTTTTTTTAATAGGAGCATTTTTTGTTATTAGGAGAGGTATGACGTGACATCATGCTCCATGTAGATGACGTTATGTCCCTCTTAATAACCAAAAATACCCATATTAAAAAAATTTTCATGTACAAAATAAAAGTATATAAATGTCCAAATTTTATTGAGTACAATGTTAAATTACTCTATAGTGTGAGTATCTTAACATAACCCAAGTTGTATTATATAACTTATAAGCGTATATACTATGCTCCTATGAGAATGTACTATACAAGGACTCCCTCGCTCTAATCACCTATTTAGGAGGATTTTGTTTAGTCTAAAATGTTGAGAACCATATAGGAATCACCATATGATAATTTTTAAAAGAAAAACCTTGAATTTGACACTTAGATCTAAACCTTCAAAATTGGACGATCTCTATTCATTCTTGAGGAATTAAGTAGTCCTAGGATATAGAAAGTTTTATTTCAAAAACTATTTAAGTTATTCTATAGGTTATAGAGATTACATCCTCAAAAATTGAGATCTAAACAGTATCACTAGTATGTGTTATACCTGAAGAAGTAAATAGATAGTTCAGTTCCACAATAGTAAGAAATCTTTTCGAATAACCTCTAATTCAATATGAATTTTTTTTTTTTTTTTGGTCAAGGATATCCAAATTTTTAAGAAAAGTGGTACCCAAAATCAACTGTAGAGCAAGCCACATGTATACCATATATACTGTAGACCAGTGTAGGAAAAAACGGTTTTTTTTATTCATTTTTCTGCCATATTTTGGCATTTTTCAGTGTATTTTTTTACGTAATTTCTCATATTTTGTCGATAAAACAAAGTTTTTAAAATGAAAGATCCATAAAAACAGAGTTTTAATTGATTGAAATTGTTTTTTTTTTCACGATTTTTGAAATTTCTGCAATTTCTTCAATTAAATTTTCATTACCTAATCATTTTTTATAAAATTTAGGGTGTTTGATAGATAATATTATCCTCTATCAGATCTATGTTTCATTTTGTTCAATCTACATAAGATTGTGGGTTGATTTTGGTCCAAAACACTGCTACTAAAAAAACTTGAGATCGATCCAAATTTTTTTAAAAAATTATCAATTTATTGCTCGTTTTGGATCAAATTGAGTTGTGGTGTTTTATCATTAAGGCTTCATTTCTCAAATAAAATAGGTAAGTTTATTTATGATGGAGAAAAAGTTTTATATATGAATTGTTTTCTTGCTCGTTGTGACAAAAAATTTATAGATCTGAAATTTCTGTCATTTTTTCATTTAAATCTTCACTACTGAATCGTTTTTTCTGAAATTTGGTGTGTTTGAAATATGATTGAAGCCTTTACAATGTAGGTATGTTGATGTTCTGGTTATCAAAAGATTAAAGGTCATTTTTTGCTCGAAATATTGTTCGATTTTAGGGTCTTTCTTTGAGAAATCGATTTTTCTAAAAAAAATTATTTTGCTTAATGAAATTATATCTATTTTTATATTTTTAATTATCTTCTCTTTTTATTGTAATGTTATATTTTTTCTTAAAAAAAAAAAAACTATTTTGCTTAATAAAACTTGTTTTTTCTTTTAATGTTTCCTATATTTTCGCTTGTTTAATTGTAGTTAAGGTTTTCTCTTATTTTCGTAATAGCATATGTCTTTGATGGGTGGCTTAGATGAAAATAGAGAATCCTAGAATAGTGCAAATAAGACATTTGAATTACTAGATAATATTTGCATGTTGTACTAATTAAAAATAAAAAAAAATTCCCATGTACCTAGTGTGTTCTTAATCCTTGAAATAATTTTTGTTTTTTTCCTCTTTTTTTTAAGTGTATGAAATCGTTCTATATATTAGCTCCCTCTAAAAGAAGTATGATGGATTAAATTATAAATTAGCTATCTATTACTAATCTTTTGTTATTTAATTAAAAAAATTCTAAATTTAATTTTTTAAGATCAATGTAGGGAATAAAATAGTATAATTTAATCTAATTTTTTATTTTTTAATTTTTTTTTCTGTTTTTAACCCATTTTTAAAAAAATCACTTGACCGAACTGGTCCGGTTAACTGCCCGGTTCCGATCTAACTGCTTTTAGTCCCATGTCCGATTAATCATTCCGATTCAATTTTTCAAACATTGTTGTAGACTTACTCCCTCGGGTAGAAGGCTCACTTGGGAAGATTATTTTTTATATTAAATTTTGAGAACTACTTAAAATTACTTGATGATTATCAACAAAAGAAAAAGTTTTGGATTTGAATTTCGAACATTTAGATCTTACCCTTCATTTTTTTTTTTTTAAGCCCATAGAGAATGCTGATTTTGGAATTATTTTTTAGACCAAGCGTGTCTAGGAGGATTTTCTTATCTAGTTCCACTCCATTAAAAAAAAAAATTGATTACTAAATAGATACAAAACTTGGACAAAATTTATTGGGAAAGCTTTCTATGTTTCCCCTGTAACATAGAAGTTCTATCCTCCCTCTACCATCCACCCGTCCATTTTTTATCAAGAGAGTCACTCACCGTTTGATCTTAGATCCGACGTCTCACAGTATTTTATTTTTAGTTTTTTAAATACATTTTTTCTGAATATGAAATTTGGTATGTGCCATCTTCTTATTGGGGTACACCTATAAAAAATATTAACAATAATTTTTTGATAAAAAATAATAACCAAATACCCCTTAAATTTTTAGGGGTATTTTGGTTATTTTATTTTATCAAAAATATTTTTTTTATATTTTTCTTTAGTGCGAGTTTAATAGAGGAATGGACATCCAAAATTTGGTGTCAAAATTGTTTATAGAAAAAAATTAAAAATAAAATAATGTAGAGACATGACATTGTGATTGGGGCAATCTTTGCCCTCCATTAAAAAATGGACGGTTGGATGAGGGGGATGATAGAACTTCTATGTTGTTGGGGAATATAGAAAGCTTTGCCAAAAATTTTTAGCTGCAGGATTCAGGGTATTTAGTTGAGGTTGGTGCCTATACTGAGTTGGTTATGTCCACATAAATTTTGTGACTAAAAAATACTCTGAATTAGGTTTCGCGTGAGCGAGCAAATGTACAATTGGCTCCCCATAAGAGTGTAAAGTCTTTAAAATGAAAAGAAAAACTACCTTACAAAACAATTAAGGTGATCAAAATCATCCCAGAGGGCTACTAAAGTTTCTCAAAATCATTAAATTTCAATTCACTCTATTACCTCCTCAAAATATTTGTTAAAAATTAACTAAAATGCCTATGTTCAGGATTAGAAACCCTAAACAAGTAGAGGCACTTTGATAGTTTGGCTCACTTAAATAAGAGAAGCTAAATGACGATAATATCCCTAGTTGTTCAAAGTTAGCGACATGAAACTGCCAATACTACTTCTGGTTGTTCTGGTTTAATAACAAATAACTCATCCGTTTTTGTATTGTGAACCCTTGTTCTACATTGCTAACCCTGAACCACTAGGGGTATTATTAGCAAATTATTGAAATACCTTTCTATTTGTCAATCATGGTTGAGGGTAATTTGATTATTCTTAAGATATTTTTAAGAAATTTATCTCTATGAAATGAAATTTTAAAGCCAGCCAATCCTAATGTTGACTATTTGACCACCTTAATGCTTTTGCAAGGTGGTTTGACCATTTAATTCCTATGTTTGCGATAATGAAATTACCTAGTTATCCGATGCATCTCAAGCTCATTGCTTACGCTCTACAGAAAAGTAAAAAAAAAAAAAAGAAGAAATTGTTCAACTCTCTCCGTAAAGATAAGAGTAGTTTTAACTTTCAAGTGGTGTATATGGCCCTAGAATAGGAAATGGGCCTGGTGGCCCAGCCTCAAAAATCCGGGCCTCAGGTAACAAAAGTTGGACTGAAGGCGGGGGGCCGAGCTGCACCAAGGGCCATGCCCAGCCTAGTTCAATACAATTTTTTTTTTTGGTTTTTTGCTTTTCCTTTTTATTTATTTTTTAAATAAAAAAAAATTGATTAGCCCTGCCCTGGCAGAACTAGGCTAGGGCGGGCTGAGCCAGGGCCGTGCCTTTCAGGCACTTGCCCAAAGTTCGGCCTGGGCCTCGGTCCAATCCGGGCCAGGCCAATCTTAGGGTGGGCCTCTTGTTTCAAGCCCTATTAAAGCCTTATGTGTGAAATTTCTATGCCAAACCAGGTTCAGAAAGCTCAAGAAAGTAAGGAGAAGTTGATACTTACCGGCCACTCTATTGGGGGATCAATTGCAATCATAGCCACTCTGTGGCTTCTCAACCAGTCCTGAAAACCAGGCACCAACCTTACCACCCCTCTATGCATCACCTTTGGATCTCCATTAGTGGGAGACCAACGCCTTGTCCAGGCAATTTGTAGAGAGAATTGGTCCTCACACTTCATCAACTTCGTATCAAGATACGATGTAGTTCCCCGAATCCTCTTCTCCCCTTTCTCATCCATTCACGCTCAATTACGTTTAATTCCTCAGCTATGGACACCTTTTTCTTCTTCATCCAATAATGTAAGATTTCAAGAAATAGCAGCCAAGCTTTACACTACTGTAATGACAAACACATTGTCCATAGCTAGCTGCACTAGTGCCTCTTTTTCTATGGTACCGGGGGTCACTAATCCAATGTTTGAAGCCATAGCTAGCATGGTAGAACTTAGTCCATATAGACCTTTTGGGTTGTCTGTATTTTTCGATGAAAACATGAGAAGCATGAGAATGGTGGGACTTGAGAATTGCGAGGCTACTTTGCAAGTGATGTTCTACACAGCGCTAGCAGATGCCCATGAAGTTGTGGAGGTGGCCAAGAGAGGGGTGGCTCAGCATCTCATATATGGATCCATGTGTGAAAGAATTAGAATGAAGGATGTTGTGTTTTTGGAAAAACTGGATCAACTTCCATTGTCTACTCAAGGTATCAACTTCCATTGTCTACTCAAGGTAGCAACGACAACGAAGCCAATTCGCTTCTCCACGAGTTTGGACTGGTGAGTTTCTCATTGTTCCTAGATGTTGCACAATAGAAATACAGTTACACATGAAGAAGTATTCAAGAGAGAGTTACATATTCAAATTCACACACACAAACACAGAAAGCGCATATTCCCAAAAGGGCATTATAGAAGTTGCTTCATCTTTCAAATTTCCGGTTTCTAAGTTTGAAGTCAGCTAGATCAATTATTAACCAAAGCTTATTTCACCTTAGTATACCTGATAATTATACCCTCTTGTCCTATGTCACACCACAGGCCAAAAGGAAAGATCCCGGGAGAATTTTCAGTAAGAATGTGTTTAGTCATTGAAGCCACCCAAGTAATTGATATCATAAGCATGCTTTTGTTAATAGATGGAATGGATAAGAATGCATGCGAGTTTCCATGGACTCAGCCAATTTTCCCTTTTTCATTTTTTTCTTCATTTCTTTTTCTTTTGACATGTTAATGGAGTAGGATTGGGACTCTAAAGTCATGTTCACCTTGGCCACCATGCCAAGAGCTCCATTCTTGAATCCTTGAGAATCGTTTTTGTGTTTTCTTGTTTGTGTAGGGTACAAAAGCAAGGCTGGCCCTTTGTATGGCCAGACAATCCGAAATGCAAAAGCATGACAACCATGCCAAAGTATGTAAGAGTTTTGACAAACTTCAGCCAGCATTAAGTTGGCTCATGGATTACCGGGACAGTTATGAAAAGGAAGGTACATGTTACTATGACGCGTTTAAGGCCCAAAAGAACACAAAGGACTTCAAGGCCAATGTGACGCGGCTACAGCTTGCAGGTCTTTGGGATGTGGTGATTGCTCTATTACGTGACCACCAATTACCGGACATCTTTGAGACGAACCCTGAATGGGTACGAAAAGCCACCACATATCGACACTTAGTAGAGCCCCTTGATATAGCCAATTACTACAGGCATGCTAGAAATAAGGATGGTGGGCCTTACTTGGATAAGGGTAGACCTAGGCGCTACAAGTACGCACAGAAGTGGCTAGAGAGGAGCGAACCCAAGATAGGCTCGCCAAAGTTCGACTCGTCTTGGCTAATGGCAGAGGTGGAAGAAATGTTGAGAGAGAGGAGTTTTATAGATATGAAGGAGAAGGTGTTGGATTTTGAAATGGAGATGTTGGGCTGGAAGAATGAAGGCATGTTAGTGCTGAGGAGGGATATAGGGGTGGATGAGGGGTCTACATTTCTGAAATGGTGGAACACACTCCCTGTAGAGCATAGGAAGAATAGTTGCATCAAGGATTGGTTTGTTTCATGAAGGAAGATATAGCTTTCTTGAGAGCCAAAGGAAGTTATAACTCCATTGTCTGATTTCATAGGAGCACTACCCCTCATAATTGTAACAACTAGGTTTAAAATATTATGGGTCATTTGGCTCCC